TGACTTATAGGACGGAATTCATAGACGTTGCTCAAGATTCGACATTGTCTTAAACGAGTACTTGAAATGTCATGAACCAATCAGAGAGCCGTATTAGCATCTTAAGACATTGCTTGAGATTAAGAACGGACTATGGATACCGGCCTTTATCACGTTAGAAAAAAATAACTTTCTTGTAAAAATTTTTTTCAATTCTTTTCTGAATTTTACATATAGTTTTCAATATTGTTAAAATATATCAAATAAAATCATTATTATAAAATTAATTACTTTATCTGACTGTAATAATTCTATTTGCATTCTTGCACGTGATATAGATTCTATGTAGTATATTATGTTACATTATTATAAGATATAAATTATTAAAGCTTGTACATACTTATTGGACTTGCATTTTAAAACTCGTTTGCTTATGGCAGTTTTGCGTAAACTTTCTTTCGTCGACACTATATATATATATATAAAATTTGATGATGTAATTTTTTATAATTACATTTAAAAAATTAAATTTTAATTTGTCTAAAATTATACTTCTGTATTAAAGATCTATCAGATTGACTTCCCTGGTTATTGTATTCAATGTAGGCGCGACTGACGTTGTGAACGAACGTACATGAGATCTGAAGCTGGTAGCAGGTTCCCAAGCTTCATCTCGCACTACACCCTGATTTCTGGGGTACATGAGTAGCGGGTCCTTCCCTGTCTTTTTACACAATCTTTCTTGAAGTGTGATCAGGCGAGATCTCCAGTGTTCGTAGCTTGCTTGTTTAAGTGCATTTACCCACTGTTCCACTTGAGACTCTGATCGACCACTCAATATATGCCGCTTGTCTGGCTCATCACGAAACGAGATGCTGAACGCAAATGCTCCCTCTGACGAATTATCTATATTAATGTTGTAATTTTCTAAAACGATGACCCCAGCAGGTTGCCTCCTATCGATATGTCCCAAGTCATTGATGTTGAAGTAAAATAGTAGATTGTACCGCAGCTTGAACCATTTCTCTTTGAATACTGGAAGCAAATATAATAATAAATCAGATACATATTAATCATTTACTCTAAATATCTAGAATTGTGAATACAACTTTTAATTCTTTCCTTCAACTAATATTCATTTTCTTGTAAAACTATGAAATGTACTATTAACAGTTAAGGCTAGAAAACAACTTTATAATCTAATTAGTTTACTATATACAGAATGTTATACAGATTAGATTATTGTGATGTATAATATACTAATATATAAATGTCTTCCTTTGTTTCGATCCAAAAAGATTTACTCCAAGTATTTCAAAAGTAATAATCAAAATTCTCACAAGTTGTATTTCATTCTCTCTAAATTATCTATCACAATTGTCTCGCAAATGGCAATAATAATTGAAAAAAATCTTCAAGTCTAAATTAAATAAACGGAAAAAAGATAATGACGCAATAGTAGCATACAATATTAATTCATGTATATACAATATAATCTCGTAGAATAATTAAAAATTACAATCAAAACTCTTTACACAAATAAAATCTATCAAGCGACAGGCAGAGTGACAGATATGACAGAAGACAGGTTAAGATCGTCGCGTTACGTAAAACTCACTCAATATTCGCGTCTCGCACTAAACTAACCTGACTTATGAGCTCGTTTATGGTTTAGACGTCCCTCCAGGTCCGCAGGTCCAAAGCTCGCTTCCGCGAGCTCTTTGTCATTGAATCTCATGTCAGACTAGGACTTGGACGACGTTGTCGCGTTGTACATACGTGTCACGAGCGGTCACAGGGGTTGTCGCGCCCTGACGAAATATTCCATCTTCGATTCGTCGGTCACATTAATCGCGGCATATCAGGCTGTGTAACTCGCCTCCCACGAGTCCCACGTCAATCAATCGACATGGGCCGATGGGCGCGCTTTCTCGCGCTCCTCCTCCCGTCTTCGCACGAGTGCTTTCGCTCCTGCGTTGTTTGATAATCGCCAGGAAAAAAAATGTTCCTCGACACTCCTCGATGATAAGCACCTATCGTGCAATCTCACGTACGAG